GGGCATAGCATACGACATACCTTGTGAGGAAATACGACGCACACATAAAGATCCAAGCGCCCCTACAACGCCAACAACGAGCGCACGCCATAGAATGCAATGGCGAAAACACGGAGAGCCGGGCTGCTTTTGCCCACATAGCTACCGGGCATGCGCGGCCTTCCGGCCGTGTTGGTAAACAGAGCCGCTCCGCTTGTCGATCTATAAGATCGTGCCAAGGCGCCACTGGCTCGGGGGCACCCGAGCACTCGTTAATTTTAACCATAATCATTGCCAACTCGCCCAACTAACCACCTTTCTACAGAATATTTTAGGCCATGTTTTATTTGGGCGTCATGACGCTCACTCACCTTGCTCGTGGACGCCCACGAAAAGGAAAAGAATAAAGAAGGGGAAAGGGAAGCGGGTTTATTGTGTTGATGTTTTTAGTCTTTTCGGTCGCCTTTTGCCGCATATCTACAGATGCTGACGAACGCTTGTATTGGACCATGGCTCGTGCATGATGGAACGCCAGAATGCCCCTTTCATGGTCGCGTGCTGCGAGCGTTGCAGACGTTTTTAGACGGAGACGGAATAGCAGACGGACGCCTACGTGACGCTTTCAAGGCGGCGCCTTACGGGCGTTGCAGACGACCGTAGACGGTGGTGGAGTAGCAGACAACGTTATTGGATTACCTCAGTTGTGGAACTCCCATAGAGGGGGGTACCCTCCCCTCACTCACTTCAATCCGCCTAGCGTCGTTCGAAACGCCATCTATATTTTCGTTTCATGACTATGCGTTCCAAAGAGCCCAGCTGGAGCGCCAAATGGCGATCACAACGCCGCCATTTATCCTGCGGCGGTCACTGGAGGAACTGCACGTGACAACCATTTTGGCTTCAATCGGCCATTTCGGAGCCGAAACAGATACAGTGGAAAGAGTTACAGGGATGCCACCCCCGTCTCCCCAGCGGACGCGCCGCTGAGGCATGGTTGTATGAAAACAATATTAATTGTACCGCAAAACCTTGCGAATTAAAGATTTTAGAAAACATCACGCGCCCCCCATTTTGTACTAAACTGCGATAAAAGTTATTACAAAGAGAGTTTTTTTCCGTTGGTTTTTACGTTGCTAGTAACGTTGAAACGTTCGTCTCCTGATTCAGTTACCAAAGCAGCCGTCTGGCGGCGCGTCGAGCGACGCTTGGCGAGTCGTGGTGAGTGAGGGGGGGTACTGTTCGTGCATGCGGCGTCTATGAGCAGTTCCGTAACTGAGCTAATCTAATAACGTTGGTAGTAGACGATGTGGGAGTCTGCCGCGCGTGTGCTCGCACGGCTAGCAGGCGGTGTCAAGCGCCAGACCAGACGCACCGGACGTCGCGACGAGGACACACTAGGCTTGCGAGCGTGTTCAGCCGAGCGGCCAAGCCAATCCGGTAGTAATGGGCGGGGCTTAGAGCGGGCCGTGACCTCCGCCTAAATTGCGTCTAATGGCGTAAATATTGCGCGAAAAAACATTTTTCGGTGAAAAACTTAAAAAAAAAAAGTCCCACAAGGGCTATATTTTGTTCAAGGTATATTAATAACTTTTTTTTTTTTTTTTTGCGCGGGTGTTACTGCTTGAGCGCGACCATTTGCGTTTGCGCGTGTGTGTCCGTACATTGCTTGTATCCTAGGCGTGCCTCCAAGTACGTGCGCAGGTGTGCGTTTTTTGTGTGCCTGCATGCGCATCCGCCCATGGGATAGCACACCTGCGTACATGCATCCAAATGTCCGAGTTGCACCATACTCTTTGGGGCCAAAGGTAGAAAAAGGTATCACGGTTTTGTCTAAAGAAAATCGGATCCATTTGATTCAATCAGACTAACGTCATTTAAATTACGGTAGCTAGGAATAGTGATTAGTTGGATGAATTACAAACAGGCGGTAAATAAAAAAATATATCCGATATTATTTTCGCACTCACTGTTTCATTTAAATCATCATAGTAAAACTGGCATGATATAAATCGCAAATTGAATCATAGTTTCAGTCACGATTTAAAGCAGATTGATTTTTATTCGTCAGCCCATCAAAGAGGAGCACGTAAAGACGCAGTCGCACTAACGGTACACACGAAAGACAGTGTGTTCCCTGCAGACATGACGTGTCTGCAGACGGTGTCTGAATGACCATCGTGACAGGGCCGTCCTACAAGTAAAACAACTGGCAGCGACTTTTACCTTCAAACTCCTATGATGCCTGACATGCTGTCTAACACCCTGGGAGCGACGTGACCTATACCCTTTTCACCTCAAGAAACATAGGAAAAAAAAAAGTCCTGCCATTTCTCCTTCATGTGGAGTACCAAGGTACATGTAAGTGCATTTTAGACAAGATATATGTTGTCTTACCAAGACGTACACGTTTCAAGCACCGAAAGCATCGCTTTATCCTCCGACAACGAAATCCCGTAAGAACTACTTCGCGCCGCGTATGAACAATGCGCAAAACTTCTTTCTTGAGGTTAAAACGGGTGTAGGGTTATCGAGGAGCTGTTGCTAGGAGGGGCAGGGGTGAGAAGAGAAAAGGAGAGGGGTGGGGTGAGGGAATTGGCGAGTCACGGGACGTATATTTTCCCTCTGAATTTAGCGGGAAACCTGAATGGTTGAATCGGTCACGTAACGTTGATTTCCCTCGCTAAATTTAGCGGAGAAACAGGATTGATGTCCGGGTCACAGTACGCGAATTTTCCCGCTAACTTCAGCGGGTAACTATTATAAGTTGTAAATTGGATAGGCCACGTGACGTCGATTTTCCGCTAAATTTAGCGGGGAAACGGAATTGATGTTTTCGCCGCAAGACGTAAATCTTCCCGCTACATTTAGCGGGGAAACTGAGTTGACGTATAGGTCGCGTGCCGTCAATTTCCCCAAAAGTTGTAGATCACGTGACGCCACTTTCTCCGCTAAATTTAGCGAGAAATTCACGGACAAAAAAAAACTTTGGGATTGGGGGATAGCTTTAAAAATTATTTTATGCTTTAAAACGCGCGTGAGACAGTGTGAGCGGACTGTCCTTTAGCTATGTATTAGCATAGGTATTATTAGCGTGTGACGGCGGCTGGAGGTGAAAAAATAAGTTTTTAAGCGATTGCTTTTTATATAGGAGTACGGACCTTCTTTACCCGTGTTGGTTTAACAGCACCACGTCACAATATCACGTGAAGTAATTGCGTCACGTGACATCGCAGCGTCACATGACGTCATGATATCATGTGAATCAGCGTCACACGTGACGACACATTACCGTGATGTAAGTTCAAGTGACACTAAAAAGGCCAAGCACATCGCAACGACACGTGTCACATGGCGCCACTGTGTCATGTGACGTCATGTCACGTGAGCTGACGTCATGGTAATGTGACGCCACAGTCTCACGTCACAATTCTTTCGTATGATTTTGCGGGGAAATAGCTCTACTAAGTTCAGGGCTAACATGCTGATCGTTGAAAAAACACTCGTGCCGTGCCATCTTCATTACGTTTGACGGAAAGTCTAATCACGACTATTCTTTTTGTTTATAAAGGTGTGAAATTTAACATTATATTTAAGGTAAGAGGCGCCAATAGCACGAGGACGGATAAGGACCCAGAGATATGAGAATTGTCCTCACGTGTGTTTTGTTTTTCAAGTTGCGTGTAACTAGTCTAACTATTTTATGTAATATTATATACGCATCCACTTTCAGGAAACGAAGCTTTCATCATCGCTGGATGGTAGCCAATTTCAGCGTTTCGACTTTATAAATAAAGACAAAAATTATATATTCTCAGTAGTTTCTAAAGCAATGCATTTTCTTAGCTTTTTTGTTTTACGTTTGCGTGTAGGGTTTCGGTTAGTAAGTGGTTTTTAATATCCGTCGCTAATTTTGATGCGGAGCCATGGTTTTCGTTAATTTAAACACTTTATGAATATTGTGTTGAGATTATGGTCAGAAAAAGAATTGATGTTTTCTTTATTTTGGTTCACAAAAAGCTCACCTTTCCATGCTGTTCTTTTTCGTCTTTGTGTTAAGGTGCTACTTCTGCAACAAAACAACATCTTGAACATTGATCAGCTGTCTTCTCGGAATGCATCAATCCTCGAATTTCAAGTTGACCACAATCCGCTGCAATCAGTTCCAAAATTTGGATCGTGGAAGCGCTTACGATGGTTGGGCATGAACAACTGCAATATTTCCGAAGTTCATCCACAAGCATTTGAAAAACTCTACAACGTCGAAGTAATCCATCTCTCCAACAATTATATTTCAGTTCTCAACGAAAGCATTTTTCACAAGAAGTCTAAGCTCGCTACTTTAAACGCGGAAGGCAACGCCATCAGAAGCCTGAAAGGTGTCTTCAGCCATACGCACGCCCTTCTGGCACTCCAGCTCTCCATGAACAAGGTCCAAGATATCACCGATACCTTCACGAACCTCTCTACACTGGTCGTGCTGAATCTTACCATGAATGAGATTACGTTTATTCGAGACGGAACTTTCCTGAAAAACTCCGACCTTGCGCAGTTGTACATCAGTCAGAACAGAATCGAATGGCTGGGAACGGGCTGTTTCGAGGGTCTATCAAACTTGCAAGACCTGCAACTTCAAAACAACCGAATCTTCAGCCTGAACGGATCGTTGAGGCATTTGACGGCTGTGAAAAGGGGGATTCTCAACGGCAACTTTTTGCAGGTTATCGAACGAAGAGACTTTGATAACGTGCCGGCGCTTCGGACCCTCTACGCTTCCGGAAACAATATCAGCGCGATCGAAGGTGGAGCTTTCGAAAGTTTAAACAACTTGCAAACCCTCTCTTTGTCATATTGAATGGGTTAAAACAGCGCAGAAAGACGAAGGACCAGTAAAAGAAACCACACAGACACAGCGCTGACTTACAACTGAAATATTTACTGCTGAACCATTCAGCAAGTAAACTTGAAGGAATACAAACATAAAAGCAATCGCCCCGAAAACAAGTCATCCTCCACTCAAGCCGACACGTGGCTACACGTATTTCCCCGCCCTTCTGATGAAATTCATTTCATCACTAACTAGAGCAAGTGATGGAACACTAATACACTTGCCTGCGTCATGGTTGGCAATAAAAAAAGCTTCGTCAATCTCCCGAGCATACTTATTTTTATGTCGGGCTAAAATCTTAATTTCATTAAACACTGGAGAGCACGCACATCTGTCACAGTGGACCGCTAGGTTGCCAGACGGGGAGGAGCGTAAGGACAGAGAATGTTCTCTCGCCCGGTCGTTAACACATCTCCCCGTCTGCCCAATGTACACTTTTCCACAGGACAATGGAATAAGGTACACCACCCCACACGCGCAGGCGACAAATGGGTTGCGGTGCTTTACTTGACACTGTGTACCCACGCGGCCACCTCGATTCACGGCTGCACACAGCCGCCCCAACTTAGCTGGAGCCGAAAACACAACTGGCACGTTGTACCTACTGGCAACCTTCTTGACACCATGGGACACCTTGTGCATATACGGCAAGACCACAGGTCTTACCGTTGGTTTTTGTCTTGCCTCAGTACTAGCAGGGCCTCTAAACACCTTAACCAAGGATTCCACGACGCCCATGACAACTCCCAAAGGGAACCCGGCATTTGACAACCTCGTGACTTGCAACAAAAAACTGTCACCACACCTATGGTGGCATGACTTAAACAAGGAGGTACGGAGACTGGACAGTGCAATGGCTCTCTTCACTGTCTTAGAGTGCGCGGATTCATAAACTAAAAGCCCCTTTTTAGACCTAGGCTCATAGGCCCAACACAAATGCGAGGGCTCACATCGAAGATTGATATCTAAAAATTGTAGGGCACCCTCAGAAGTGGTCTCAGCCTTAAAGTTTAGTCCCGGAGAACAATCCGTAAATACATGTAATATCGAGGCAATCACACTTTCAACGTCTGTGTTATCGTTGCTTTTCAGCACAATCAGGTAGTCATCAACATACCTCAACACTTTGACCACCCTATCGTCCAGCCGCTCAGCAATTGCCCTGTCACACTTAGCCAAATAAATGTCACTGAGTACGGGCGCAACATTCGACCCAATGCATATGCCGCTCTTTTGCAAAAACGTGTTGCCTTCAAACGTAACAAAGGTGGACGCGAGGTAAAAATTCAGTAGTTCAAGGAAAGAATCACTCGCAATCCCACAGGAACTCGAGAAGGCCACAGCCCCAAACGTATCAATGCACTCCTCCACGGCCTGCATGAGCTCAGAATGGGGAATTGCATAAAACAAATCTTCCACATCAAACGAAACCAGCTGACACGAGCCAGGATTATCTTCCCGTAGATAATTAACCAAGGCTTCCGAATTGCGAACAACAAAAGGGTCATCCAGCATAAGTGACGACAAGTGGCGCTGCAGAAAGCTTGACACATGCACCTGCCAAGAACTTTTTTGAGTGACAATGGCTCTTAAAGGCATCAACTCTTTGTGGGTCTTTACCGTGAAGAACGCCTCCAGACTAAGACCTTTAGCTGCTGACACAGACTTTCTCAGCGAATCCAGCCCCATGTTACTGCATAACTGCACAGCACGCGCCTTAACCTTTTTCAAATCAACCCCCGACACTGGCCTAAAATTCTTCAACATCGCCTCCCCGGCCTTCTCCAAGAACATCCCCTGAGGCGCCACGACAAAACCCCCTTCTTTATCAGATACCAGCAACTTTAACCGCGAGTCATTGAAAAACGATACAACAGCCCCAAGATTCATCCTTCTCACCTTTCTCCCAACCCCTTTTAAAAGCCCTTCCGCACACTCCAACACGCAACGTTCCCTGCTTTCCTGGTTCGTTTTTTGAGACACTTGTCGCACCAGGCCCAGCATCTCCGGAGGCCGGACCAACGGCTCGGTAGCAAACCTGGGACCCTTCTTCAAAATGTTCACAATCTTGTCAGGAGCAGAGGCACCACCCAGGAACACAATGCTGCCTCCCCCACTCCCCTCCTGATGATGCCTGGATTTCCTTGGCAGCGAAGCACGCAGACGCTCCCATAAAAATTCCGTCGCCATCGCAGACTCCCTTCTGCAGCGTCGAAGCTTCCTCTCCGCAGCACGTTCTTCATTCGAAGTCCGATAGCACCAAACCCTTAGGCCATCCTGAAGCAGCCTGACCTGTCGCCAGGCCTCGGATCGTAGAATCTTACACATGCGCTTGGCATGTCCAGACGATGGCCCCATCAAACCGAAAAGAGCAGCCACTTCAGGCGGGAGGATGCCTTGTCTCACTGCGTATCCGAAGTGTCTTGCCTTGCACGTAGCCGCGGCGATGGCATTGATGTAGAAGATGTCATGATGGGGTTGATTGGGAGAACACATAAAAGAGCCCGATGTACAAGAAAGGAACTGCAACAAGGTGGAAAGTTGGGCGAGTTGGTTGATGGTCATATTGAATGGGTTAAAACAGCGCAGAAAGACGAAGGACCAGTAAAAGAAACCACACAGACACAGCGCTGACTTACAACTGAAATATTTACTGCTGAACCATTCAGCAAGTAAACTTGAAGGAATACAAACATAAAAGCAATCGCCCCGAAAACAAGTCATCCTCCACTCAAGCCGACACGTGGCTACACGTATTTCCCCGCCCTTCTGATGAAATTCATTTCATCACTAACTAGAGCAAGTGATGGAACACTAATACACTTGCCTGCGTCATGGTTGGCAATAAAAAAAGCTTCGTCAATCTCCTGACAAGATTGTGAACATTTTGAAGAAGGGTCCCAGGTTTGCTACCGAGCCGTTGGTCCGGCCTCCGGAGATGCTGGGCCTGGTGCGACAAGTGTCTCAAAAAACGAACCAGGAAAGCAGGGAACGTTGCGTGTTGGAGTGTGCGGAAGGGCTTTTAAAAGGGGTTGGGAGAAAGGTGAGAAGGATGAATCTTGGGGCTGTTGTATCGTTTTTCAATGACTCGCGGTTAAAGTTGCTGGTATCTGATAAAGAAGGGGGTTTTGTCGTGGCGCCTCAGGGGTTGTTCTTGGAGAAGGCCGGGGAGGCGATGTTGAAGAATTTTAGGCCAGTGTCGGGGGTTGATTTGAAAAAGGTTAAGGCGCGTGCTGTGCAGTTATGCAGTAACATGGGGCTGGATTCGCTGAGAAAGTCTGTGTCAGCAGCTAAAGGTCTTAGTCTGGAGGCGTTCTTCACGGTAAAGACCCACAAAGAGTTGATGCCTTTAAGAGCCATTGTCACTCAAAAAAGTTCTTGGCAGGTGCATGTGTCAAGCTTTCTGCAGCGCCACTTGTCGTCACTTATGCTGGATGACCCTTTTGTTGTTCGCAATTCGGAAGCCTTGGTTAATTATCTACGGGAAGATAATCCTGGCTCGTGTCAGCTGGTTTCGTTTGATGTGGAAGATTTGTTTTATGCAATTCCCCATTCTGAGCTCATGCAGGCCGTGGAGGAGTGCATTGATACGTTTGGGGCTGTAGCCTTCTCGAGTTCCTGTGGGATTGCGAGTGATTCTTTCCTTGAACTACTGAATTTTTACCTCGCGTCCACCTTTGTTACGTTTGAAGGCAACACGTTTTTGCAAAAGAGCGGCATATGCATTGGGTCGAATGTTGCGCCCGTACTCAGTGACATTTATTTGGCTAAGTGTGACAGGGCAATTGCTGAGCGGCTGGACGATAGGGTGGTCAAAGTGTTGAGGTATGTTGATGACTACCTGATTGTGCTGAAAAGCAACGATAACACAGACGTTGAAAGTGTGATTGCCTCGATATTACATGTATTTACGGATTGTTCTCCGGGACTAAACTTTAAGGCTGAGACCACTTCTGAGGGTGCCCTACAATTTTTAGATATCAATCTTCGATGTGAGCCCTCGCATTTGTGTTGGGCCTATGAGCCTAGGTCTAAAAAGGGGCTTTTAGTTTATGAATCCGCGCACTCTAAGACAGTGAAGAGAGCCATTGCACTGTCCAGTCTCCGTACCTCCTTGTTTAAGTCATGCCACCATAGGTGTGGTGACAGTTTTTTGTTGCAAGTCACGAGGTTGTCAAATGCCGGGTTCCCTTTGGGAGTTGTCATGGGCGTCGTGGAATCCTTGGTTAAGGTGTTTAGAGGCCCTGCTAGTACTGAGGCAAGACAAAAACCAACGGTAAGACCTGTGGTCTTGCCGTATATGCACAAGGTGTCCCATGGTGTCAAGAAGGTTGCCAGTAGGTACAACGTGCCAGTTGTGTTTTCGGCTCCAGCTAAGTTGGGGCGGCTGTGTGCAGCCGTGAATCGAGGTGGCCGCGTGGGTACACAGTGTCAAGTAAAGCACCGCAACCCATTTGTCGCCTGCGCGTGTGGGGTGGTGTACCTTATTCCATTGTCCTGTGGAAAAGTGTACATTGGGCAGACGGGGAGATGTGTTAACGACCGGGCGAGAGAACATTCTCTGTCCTTACGCTCCTCCCCGTCTGGCAACCTAGCGGTCCACTGTGACAGATGTGCGTGCTCTCCAGTGTTTAATGAAATTAAGATTTTAGCCCGACATAAAAATAAGTATGCTCGGGAGATTGACGAAGCTTTTTTTATTGCCAACCATGACGCAGGCAAGTGTATTAGTGTTCCATCACTTGCTCTAGTTAGTGATGAAATGAATTTCATCAGAAGGGCGGGGAAATACGTGTAGCCACGTGTCGGCTTGAGTGGAGGATGACTTGTTTTCGGGGCGATTGCTTTTATGTTTGTATTCCTTCAAGTTTACTTGCTGAATGGTTCAGCAGTAAATATTTCAGTTGTAAGTCAGCGCTGTGTCTGTGTGGTTTCTTTTACTGGTCCTTCGTCTTTCTGCGCTGTTTTAACCCATTCAATATGACCATCAACCAACTCGCCCAACTTTCCACCTTGTTGCAGTTCCTCTCTTTGTCCTTCAATCAGCTAGTGACGATTCCTCGGCGCAGCTTTCCCGCATCACTGGACAAGTTGGACAGCCTTGTCATCCACGGTTAGTGTGCCTCCTTTCCTCTTCTCTCTTTATGAAAAATTGCGGAAAACGTGGCACGTTTAAAAATGCAGCCTGTGGGCTCCGCTATCGTGCCGCTATATATGTGTCAATCACGTGATAGTCAAGCCTCGCCTTAAGCCAACGTTACTGGATTGCATCAGTTGTGGAACTCCCGCCGGGAGGGAGTTCCACACCTCACTCACTTCAGTCCGCCTCCTGTCGTTCCAAGAGCCATCTAGATTTTCGTTTAATAAATGTGTGTTTCATAGGGTACGGTGGAACGCCATCTATCGTCGGTGACAGGTCAAGAACGAAGTGGACGCCCCTCCCACCTCTTTCCACTTTAACAGAGAGAACGCTGAGAGGAGACGACATCCTCTCCAGCGTTCGCTCTGCTAAAGTGGAAAAAGGTGGGAGGAGCGTCAACTTCGTTCTTGACCTTTCCCCGGCTATAGACGCTGCGCTTGGAAACCTGCGTATCTCATAGAATACACTTCAGTTGTCATAGCGCCCGTGTGGCGCGTCGAACGACGCCAGGCGAGTCGTGGGGAGTGAGGGGGGTGCTGCTCGTGCATGCAGCGTCTATGAGCAGTTCCGTAACTGAGCTAATCTAATGACGTTGCCTAAAGCCGTAGTCGTAGTGCTCATAGAGCATACAAAAGACACGGTCTGCTGACGGGACGGAATTGTGTGGGGCACGCCTCCAACACTCTCGACGCATGTTTGCTTAATACGTATGCATGCTTCCAACATGTCTGCAGACGGTTTTTGTTTGACCAATGTGTCAGTCGTACAAGGGAGAGACACGCCCCAGACAGTGTGCGCTTGTGCATGATGCATGAGCACTGTTACCGCGGCCTAAAGGGGCGCTGACAGGTCAACATCATGTGTTGTTATTATCCGAAAGGATTGAAAACGATGATGATCGGTGGGTCTGATTCCCGAACCCACCGATCACCCTCAGTGTTGCATGTGCCGAACGCCAGCATGTTATCCGAGGGAGGATAAAAAGCCAGGAGGCGACATCACTCCGGGCTCCGATTTTTGGTATTTCAAAAAGAAGTGCCGCAGTGTGTTCGCAATTGCGTTAAAAAAAAACATGTTTTATGAATGCCGCCATTAATTACTATAGAAATGACGCTTACAAAGCTTCTATATTTTATAATCAATTACGTCACAAATAAAAAAAAAAGGGAAAAGGTGAGAAGAGAGAAAAACACCAAAAATAGAGAGGCGCCCGTGCGCGTGGAAAAACTTTACTGCGTTGTGGTATTTTTTGCGTGTCTATGGCTACAACTTGCATCGTTTTAGACAAAGAAAAAATAAAGAAAAAGAAAAGACTTTTATGGTGTCAGTGCCCCTTTCAAAGCGTGCCACTGGTTGCCAGACTGGCGCCTCCACGAAGCGTTCCCTACTCACCGAGGCCAACTTAGCTTTTGAAACGTTGCTTCTTTTATACGTTATGAGGGGAAGTGTTTCCTGTTTCTGGTATATACCAATAAACCCCAAAAAATAGCCGCCCGTCCAGTTTTATAAAAAATCAAAGACGTCCGAAAAATCCCGAATTAAGGCTGCTCTCGAAAACTCAAGCTACAACCGAAAGAATTCTTAGTTTTCAACATTATTTTATGGTTAACCAGAATACAGCCCCCCTGAACTGTCCACGAGGCGAGTTTCTTTATTCGGGGTTTATTCTTTATGATTATTTATTCGGGGTTCCTTTTGTGATCGATACTGGCAAGTTTTCCAAGTAGTACTTATGTCGCGCCAAGGTTCCCTCTGGGCTTCGGAATCTCATTCCTGTGTCCCACTAAACACGCGTGCTCTTGTGAGACACCCAAATTTTCCACTGAAAAATATCGAGCCTGTTAAATCAAATAAATTTCGAGGAAAACACCTGTCACATTGAGAAAACAAAAAAAGAAGTAAGCCGCGAACGCGGAATTTTATTAGCCGACCTTCTTGGCAGGAAACCCGGTCGTCTGCGACTGTCGACTCTCGTGGCTCATCGCCACATGGGGCACCCGGAGCCCCGACTGGGCCATCTGCCAAGGTCCTCCCAGGTTTCATGGCAGGCTGTTATACGACCTGACCCCGGAGCAGCTAAAGGCCTGGCCCCAGGGATGCGACGCCAACTGCACCTGCGAATGCCACGACGACGAAGTGTTCGGCATGGACGTTCGCGTGAGCTGCGCCAACGAAAGCCTCGAAGAGCTGCCCTCCACTTTTCCCACGGAGACCGCCGTACTCGATCTCAGTGGAAATCGCCTGCGGCAACTCGACGACGATCTGGCCGTCAGGTCGCCCAACCTCCGGTCCCTGAACCTGGCAAACAACCGTCTTGCGAAGTTCCCTACCGACCTTGTGTCCAAGATGAACCTCTCCAGTGTCTGGCTGTCCGGCAACCCGTGGAGCTGCGACTGTGAAGATTACGCTTTCA